GGTATCTTGCGGCTATGTAAAATATGAATGAGAAGGATGACTTTACGGATGTTATCAGCAGCTTGTCGCCCCGGAACGAAGCCAACCTTATCTTGATGAATAAGTGAGATTAGATATTTATTAACTCGGGTGCTCAGAATCTTTCCCAGAATCTTCAAGTCCACATTTAGCAGTGAGATTGGTCTGAACGCTTGTGGGTCAAAGGCATCTTCAGCTTTCTTAGGGATCATAGTAATATGCGCCTGAAGAGACTCCAAGGAAAGCTGGGAACCCTGCATCAAAGAATTGAAAAAGGCCACCACCAAATGAGGAACCAGAACGGTGGCAAATTTTTTCTAATAGAGCCCAGAGAACCCATCTGGTCCTGGAGCCTTGGAGGCCTTCAAAGATTTAATGGCTTGGTGGAGTTCAGATTCAGAGATATCCGCATTCAGGGCATCTCGGGCTGCATCTGATAAAGAGGGTAGGTGTAACTCAGCAAAAAAGCTATCAGCATGTTCAGCGACAAAGGTGTTCGGTTTTTGGTAGAGAGAGGACAAAAAATTCCGCAAATCTATGAGTTATCTTTATAGGGTCCGAGGTAAGGCCACCACCCCCTCATGTGAAGTTGAACAGGTGCAACCAAGTTTCTTGGCCAACATTGGCCCCGGTTTATTAGCCCATCGCAAAGCCTTCTCAGCTTGTGTGGTGGAAAGAAGATCAAGTTCAGCAGCTATGTCAGGGCTCCGGGTATGACCAGAGGTATGCGAACTGATGCAGGGAAACGCAGGCTTCAGATATGTTATAAACAATATAATTTATTAATACTAACAATACAAAACGCAGTGCAATACTAAAACATAAACAACGTGCAAACGAACCAAACCAAGCCACCCACAGATAACAATACATACAATGCAAGCGTAGTCAGGCAGGCCGGGTCAACAACAATCGGGCAGGTAGGAACAGGAGGAGCAGGCAGAGAGTAGTCAGGTCACGAGCCGGGTACAGCAACTAACGGGCAGGTAGGTACAGGGGGTCAGGCAGAGAATGGTCGGGGTCACAAGCCAGGGATCAAACAGGAGAAGTCAGCAGAGGACAGGATCAGGCTGGGTCGGCAACAAGTCAGTCAGGCAGGAACAGGAACAGGAACGCAGGTAACCAGATACAGGGGCCCATGGAAAAACACACAACAAGGCCCAGACTGCAGGTCTGGCCATCCCTTAAATACACCTCCGTAATCAGCTTCAGGTGTTTGGCTGACTGCAGGGTTGAGTCTCTGATTGCTGAGAGCACCCGCTGGCCAGCCCTGGTACTGCAGCCCACAAGGCAGGTGAGTCCCACCATTACTGGCAAGTCCATTCCTGCTGAGCTACCACATCTCAAGCCTTCCTATTGGCCGTAGTCGGCCGGGCTTTCCAAGTAGCATCCACCACGGCCAATTTCGAGGTCAATTCCAACATCTTCTTCTCTCTAGCCCGTTTCCTGGATGAGGCAATTTAAATTAGATGACCCCTAATAGTAGCCTTGTGGGCTTCCCACAGAGTAACGGCCGAGGATACAGAACCCACATTATCTGAAAAATAGGATTGAATATGCAAGAGAACCTGGGAGCAAGAAGCCTGAGTGGTGAACAGGGATTCATTGAGTTTCCACCGAAAAGAGGGCCGAGCCATAGCAGAAAGACTTAGCGAAAAGACCAATGGATCATGATCGGACCAGTGTGAGGTCGAGATGACTATTTTCTGAATTAAAGATAAATGTTGGAAGGAAATGAAAACGTGATCTATTCTACAAAAGCTCAAGTGTGGGGCCGAATAAAAAGTGTATTCCTGCGATGTAGGATGTATTTCCCACCAGACATCAACCAGACCATAAGCTTGCAGAGTATCACGCAATTTAGATTCCTGAGGTCGTGGCTAGGGGTCCCTCCCGCCGGGTAATGGTGATCGACAGAGGAATTAAGAGCAACATTCGAATCACCCAGCAATAAGAGGATTCCCTGTTGATGGTGCGAAATCACCTTCAGTGGGTGAGAAAAAAATTTGTGTTGAAATCTATTAGGCACGTAATAACCCTCCAGGGTCACCTCCTGATCCCAAAGGGTACCCCGGAGGAGCAAATATCTACCAGTGGGGTCAGCTATTTCGAAGTTGCAGGTAAACAGCAGATTACGTCTAAAAGTGATCACAACGCCCCTATGCTTCTTATGGGCCGAGGCAGCGAAAAAGGCTGGATAATGGTGGGAGAGGTAGCGTGGCGCGGAGGATTGAGAAAACCTAGTCTCCTGTAGGCAGGCTACATCCACGACTTGGGACTTAAGATGATGGAACACTTTAGAACGCTTGGTCGGAGAATAAAAGCCATGGATATTTTGAGAAAAAAATCTTCAAAGGTTTCAGAGCCATACTGAGTCAAGGGAGTTTAGCTGCCAAAGAACGCTAAAAGCAACGGTCCAAGTCTCAAACGCACCCTTACCGTGGGCTGCCCCAGATCTGTGAGAAAAAAGAGGGAGAAGAAAGCAGACAAAAAACAGACAGAAGAAGAAACCGTACACTTTAAGAGCAACAAAACCACACTCCGTGGAAATTGTGACCTAACCATAAGGGCGCACACTGGGGGATGGCTCTACCACCGGGCGCAGGGGTGCGTCATAACCAACATAGTACATAAAACCTTCATGGGGAGGGAAATGAAGGGAAAAAAAAACAAGGAGGGGGGGGGGACAAGACAGGCAAAAAAAGATGTCAACTACATTACCTTAATAATGCATAATATGACACCATAACACATAAAGAGAATGTAAACAGGTACACAAACATATCAGAGAAATAAAACGGAGGCATCCCCGGGTCACGGCCCCGTTAGATCGTAAGCCGGCACCAATCATATAAGACAAGTGACCATGAGCTAGGGAGGCCCCCGGTATATATATAAAGGTATAGTAACACCAGAAAAGGGAAAAAAAAAAAAAGTGTGTGTGTGTGTGTGTGGGGGGGGGGGGGGGGGGGGGAATAACATGAAAAATTCAACTTATAATCGGACCACAAGGAGCTGGCAGAAATCGAGGATCGAAAGTTCGCCCAGCAAGGGCCAGTCAAGGCTTCCGCTCCATAAGAAATGCGGAGAGTCACGTCAGTGGAACAAGCCATCTGAAAAGTGAAAAATCTTACCCATCCAACCGTATTCAACCTGGATCGGAGCGGGAGGATCCGGACAATGGAGGGGTACTAGGGAGGGAGCGTTTACGGTTGTCAACTTTCTCCCAAAGACCTCCCTAACACCTCCTTGGACCCAGGGCCCGATAAATGCGATCGAACTCCAGACGGTCTATTGGTATCGCCGGATCCAATGCTTGAAAAAGCGCGGTGGCAGTAGACATGAGGTAAACGATGGCTTCGGGCAGGCCGCGTAGGCAGAGATTACCCCGACTGGACCTATTCTCGAAATCTTCCAAGCGCAAGAGAGCCGCATCAAGCTCTCTTCGCAAGTCTGAAAGGTCCTGTTCATGATTTTCGATCACCGTAGCCATGGCATCTATCTTCAAGAACGTCGGTGCGGCTTCCCAATTCGTGAATTTCTTTGGTGAGATGATTCGCTAGTTTGGAAGTGGCAGTGTGAAGCTCCTGTTTCTGCATGGTCTTAAACCTAGCCAGGAGATCTGAATCCCGCAGGGGGGGCTGTGGGTGGTCTGCGGCCCGCTTGGAGGGCTGTGGGTGGTCTACGGCCCGCATGGAGGGTTGTGAGTGGTCTGTGGCCTGCAAGGGAGGCTATGGATGGTATGCGGCCCGTATGGAGGGCTGTGGGCGATCCGTGGCCCACATGGAGGGCTGTGGGTGGTCTGTGGCCCTTGAGGGCCGTGGGTGGTCTGTGGCCCGCAAGGAGGGCTGTGGGGGGTCTGTGTCCTGCATAGGGAGCTGGTGGAGGTCGGCAGGGTAGTCTGGCAGGCTCTCCAGGTCCGAGGAGGCTTCCGGGCAACCCGAGGACAGCGGCCGAATTTGAGGCGGTGGCTTCTGCTAACGAGTAGGCCGCATCGGCGGACCGGCTCTGGAGCCGAGCGCTGGAGGCGCGGGAGGCCACGGTTCTTTTCCCCATGGCGGTGGGGGGGTCAGCAGAGGGTGAGGATAGATGTGGGGGACAGATTCGGCTCTCCAGGAGGCCGATTACTGCGGTAATGTGCCCGGCGGCGGAGGAGCGCAGAGGACAGGCGGCCATATCCTGCACTGCTCGTGAGTGCACCCCGATTTTTCAATTTTTCAAACACAAAAACACAATATAGTGCCAAATTGTTTGATAAAATATAAAAAGATGATGTTACGCTGAGTAAATATATACTAAACATAACATGCTTAAATTGTGCACGTAATTTACGACGTAAATTTTTAATATCGTTAGGCAACGCTTTAAAAGCCTTTACAGGTCACCACTTTAGATTTGCTCAGGTTGCCTAGCACTAGAATTACTGCTCTCAATCTGATACTTCACATGCATGTTGCAATCTCTGTTCACATACCGACATGGGAGCAATACTTGCGTTCGCCTTTGCACATGAACATGGAAAGGGGGGGGGCCAGTGGTGATTTTTTAAAAAGTTTATTTATTTTCTTTTTTTTTTAACACTGTCCTTTCTTTTTTTTTTTTTGGGTCACTTGTTATCACAGGAAATGTAAATATACCCTGTGAAAGATACTCTTCTGAGAAATCTGAGGTCTATTAGACTCTAGATCTCTCCTCTGCCCATAACCACTTGCCTACTGGGCACTTATACCCCCTTCGCGGCCCGGCCAATTTTCAGCTTTCAGTACTGTCGCATTTTGAATGACAGTTGCACGGTCATGCAACACTGTACCCATTTTATAATTTTTTTCACACAAATAGAGCTTTCTTTTGGTGGTATGTATTCGACACTGGGTGTTTTTTTTTTTGCGCTATAAACAAAAAAAGAGCAAAAAAAAAAAAAGAAGTTTTTCTTTTATTTCTATTGTAAAATTTTGCATACAGGTCATTTTTCTCCTTTACTGATGTACGTTGATGAAGCTGCACTGATGGGCACTGATGAGGTAGCACTGGTGAGGCAGCACTGGTGGGCATTGATGAGGAGGCACTGATGATGCTGCACTGATAGTCGGCACTGATGGGTACTGATAGGCGGCACTGATAGGTGGCACTTATGGGCACTGCTGGGTGGCACTGATGGGCTGCACTGATGGGCGGCACTGCTGGGGGCACTAATGGGTGGCACAGCTGGGGGCAATGATGGGTGGCACAGCTGGGCACAGATGGGAGGCACTGCTGGGGGGCACTACAAGAACTCCCAGAACTTCCGATTTAAAAATGACGCTGTTTATATCTGGTGAAATGGAAATGATTAAATGCCTGTAGCTTCTAGCTTCTTAGACCTTACCCTGGCCATGTCTCTGAGCACTATGGATAATCAATGGATATCATTGATTATCCACACCTGGGGCTCACCTCTGCACACCTCCCTGCACCTCTCCTCCCAGCAAGTCATTACAAAGGCTTGTGATACGCACCGGCTCCCCCAATTTCGACTCCCTGTCTGCAACAGCTGGGAAGGTGCAGAAATGTGGAACAGAACAGCTCACGAGATACTTCAGTCCGACAGTTGGTGGACCCCCTTTTTTGGTGCCCCATACCTGTCATTGTGAGGGTTTCCATGCTGGATGGCTTAACATCTATGATACCTGGATTATGACCCCCTGCGGATGGATGAGTAATGTTACCTGGAGAGAGATGACACGCTGATCACCTGTCCTGCTGCTGGTTTGCCAGATGATCTCCTGATCCTTGCCTTTCCAGATCCAGATGACCAGGAGTGGTCTGACAACTCAAAGGCGCATACGTTTGAGCTATCTGGTTAGTGCAATATGTACTCATTCACAGTCACGAGAGGCACGGATTTCATCTATGTTTGATTATTGGACGTTATATTATCATTGTGTGTGATCTGACATTTAATTTATTACATGTCATCTATTGCACTTTAAACGGCACTATCCTAGACGTTTTACACTTGCTATTACCTAAGCGCTCCACAGCGCATTTATATGAATTTATATCACAGTACTGATTATTTTTATCTTCTGAATATAGCGCTGAATTTTTTGACAGATTTTACATCAAAGGTTCAGAGGTTATACCTTTATGCTAGCTGCTCACCATTTACTAATTTCCTCTTGTAATCTGAATAATTTTGAAGTTTGTAAACATTTTTTATGAAGGTTCCCCCACAATTATTTTCTTGAATTCTGGGCCATGTATTCACTATGCCGTGTGGAAGCACTGCTGTTTCACACATTTCACAGAGCCTGCCTTCTGAACTACAGAGGTGCTGAGAGGAGACGTTTTAGGAGGTAGAGTCAGTACAGCAAGGTACCATGGGATACATAGTCCTTAAAATTTTCAAGTAAGCAGCAGAGGAGAAGCTGCAAAGCATGAAGGGAATCCAGGAAGTTCTGGAAAGAGATGAACAACAGATAAGCAGAACTCACAACATGAAAGGAGATTTTTCCAAAACTCTGAACCATTTAATTTCCTAAACATCCCCTCCTCCTTCTCCTACTATCTTTCTATCACCCACCCCTTTTTATTGATTTGAACTTTGCTGCACATTTCACAGATATTGCCTGGTCCCACTATTCACCAGGCCATGGCTGGGTTGGACCGTCCAACTGTGAGCTTTCTAGCTTCTTTCATCTTTTTTTTTTGTAAATCTGTTTTATTCTTTTGAAATAGGTGGTATACAAAAAATACAAAATGGGTACATAGGCACAGATGGCCCACGCAGGGGCACTGCCCTGTAGCATCAAAAGGCACAATACAGATAAGATACATGTTTTGTACCACAAAAAAAAACCCCAGAAAACAAGATATAAATTATTTTTTAAAAAACTTACTGTTCCAGAAAAGAGGTACAGAAACAACAAACAGTTGCCAGTGGTGCAAAGCTTCAGCACACAGAGTTAGTCAAGGAGGGCTACACCCATCTAGAGTCCCACATCATTGTCAACATGACAAGAGTCATGTACATATTCACTCAGTAGTCCATTGAAGTGGCTGTTCAGGAATTTTCCATCCAACATGTCCATACTCTATTCAATTTAGCAAAGCAACCCCTATTGAGATAAGTGTGTTGATATATGGGAAGAGTAGAGTTACCATTTTCATCCAGAAGAGAACAGAGGGGGAATTAGGCTTTTCCAAATGAAGGGTATAGTTTTCCTGGCATAAAACAGCAGCAGGCTTATGAAGGTTTTTGTAGCTAACTTTGGAGCCAGTACCTCAACCAGGCCTAGTAAACCGTGTCTAGGTGAGATACCTATAGGAATATGTGTTACAGAGGTAATAACACCTATAACCCGTTGCCAATAGGAGATTATAGCAGGGCACGTCAAGAAAATGTGCATGATGTCTCCCTCCGGATGCGTACATCTCCAGAAAGATGCTGAGAGGTTAGGATCCATCTTATGGAGCCTGTGTGATGTGTATAATAGGCTCTGTGAGCAATTTTGAACTGAATTACTTTGTCCCTTGTGGACACCAGATAAGTAAAGGAAATTCCAATAACTCTAGCCAATCTTCCTCATTCAGCTCAGGGACGTCAATTTCTACTTCTGCCTTAATCAAGACAACTTAGGTAAAGCTGCTGTTATGAACAGGGGCGGACTGACCATTTGGAAACTCGGGCACTGCCCGAGGGCCCGGGGTCAATAGGGGGCCCCATGAGATGCCCCTGGTACCTTTTTCATAGGCTTTTTTGAGTTTGGGCAAGGACACAGGGGCCCCATGATCCCCTATTGCCCAGGGGCCCCATGAGTTGTCAGTCCACCCCTGGTTATGAAATAACAATACAGCACTGAAGTAGGTTTCTGCAGATCAGGTACTCATAACACAGACTCTAGGGGGTTTATTTACTAAAGCTGGAGAGTCCAAAATCAGACTCCCTTCTGCATAGAATCAGCTTCTAACCGCAGCTTGTTCAGTGAAGCTTTGGCAATGAAACCTGGAAGCTGATTGGTTTCTATGCAGAAGGGAGTCTGATTTTGGACTCTCCAGCTTTAGTAAATAAACCCCTAGTTGTCAGTAGGAGAGATGCAGTTGTCTGCTGGAGAACTGAGAGTTGAAGGCATGGGCAACTTGATAAAATATCTAAACTGATAATGTAATAGGAGGTTAAATTTGGCACATAAGGAAGGAAAGGGTAACAGCCTGTGATTCCTAACAATATGTTCCAATGTTTTAATCCTATACTTGGCCCAAGCGGAAGGGTCAGAGTGTGACAATGAGGAGTTGAGCCAGAGAGGAGTATGAGGTGATAGTGCATTTGGTGGGATAGTTTTTTTTTTATGGTCTGCTATGATAAGATTGTGACTGCACATCTTCAAGCTGAGCGCTTTATGACCATTTATAATTTTCTGGTCCATCTGGTCTGGTAAGCGGCCCTGACATCTATATGTGGAGGTGGTGGAGTTTGTTCACATCATGGTGCATTATTGCAACATAGATCACACTGGGCACTGTATATACTTTTGGAGAAGAAGGGACTGTAATATGAAGGGATTCATATTTTACATGCAGACTTTAATTCTTTATTTTTTATCTTCACTTTGACATTCACTGATGTAAATTCACCAATTTTTTGATTTTTATTCTGCAGCGTCTTATCATTTGCATGAATATCTATTCACTAAGCTCAACAGCACTATATTTTTATTTTATTTGATTTTTATTTATATTTGTTTGCTGTTATTTATTTTTTATATTTTTTTCACTTGGTGTCAGAGTGATTAACAGCTGCTTTATTTTCCTTTTTTTTTTTAATCTTAGCACAGATATATTTATTTAATTAATTAATTTGAGTGTTAGTACATTACCTTGAACATCAACAAGTAATAATAGTGACCAGAATAGAACTGTGAGATGTAACAATAACAGTTACATTTATATTGTACTTTCACAGAACAATAAATTAGTAATCAATGAACATAATAAGCTTGACAGGGTAAAGGTACAATAGACCCAATGCATATTTATATTCATGATTTTTGCACTTGCTGTTCTCATTACTCTTTTTAGCAGAATGTGCTATTTTCTAGGAAATCTTCCAAGATTTGTCTTGCTGTTTGTTTATTAAAATGAGAAGCTGTTTTATTAGCTTAAAAGCATGTTTTCCAATAAATTTTGCTTGTTTTGATGTTAAAATCTTAATTACATAAACTGGAAGCCAAAGGTAATGTTAAATTGGTTTGTAGTGGTAAATGAATCATTAGTTTGAATGTAGTTAAAGGTAAATAGGACAAAAGTAGTTTTAGAAATGGTAGATCTATGAGGCTGAGTAGGAGGGTTTCTTTATTTGATGCACTTTTCTCAAATAAGATTAAATACAATTCTGCTTGAATACTATAGTACCTAGAATCCAATGACCAATGATTCCATAGGTAGGCCCAGTAAGTGAGCTTGTACTTTGCTAATTGTTATTTGTCTGCTTTAGGCCCAGAGTAACCTATCTTTCCAGTATTCCTCTGCAATTTGATCTGCTGCAGAGCCCAATAAAAATACCAAGTATCTCCAGGTGAACACATGACATTCCCCCTGCTTTTTCCATATGGCAGCACTTAGTGGCTTAGTGCCCAGCTGCCAAGTCTAAAGGCTAACAGGTGGGGCAAGCAATGCAAGGATTGTATTGCTCTAGCTAAGTTTCTACTTCTCAGAACATCCATACCTACAAAGAGGTTTCTGGGGAAAACAGTGGTAGATATGGATTATAGTGAAGGTAAATATAGTATGCTTCTCTAGCAAATTAAATGATTAGTGGGCAGCACAGTGGCTAAATGGTTAGCACTTCCGTGTGGCAGTACTAGGGTCGTTGGTTCGAATCCCAGTCACGGCACCACCTGCCTGGAGTTTGCATGTTCTCCCTGTGCCTGCATGGGTTTCCTCCCACCCTCCAAAGACATGCTGGTAGGTTAATTGGATCCTGTCTAAATTGGCCCTAATATGTGTATGTATGAATTTAAGTTAGGGACCTTAGATTGTACACCCCTTTGGGGTTAGGGACTAATGTGAATGTACAATATATATATA